GCTGTAATCCAGAAAATGATCTAAGATTTGGAAAAACAAAAATATCCTAACATATAAATAAAGTTCCTCTGAGGCTGTCAGGAGGAGATGCTTGCAACCTGATCCTGTGTCTGTGTCTCCTCATTCGCCGACGCCGTCCTTTCCTACGAGAGACCCACACCGGCTGGAGCTGGACTCCGGCACTTTACCCCTCTCCCCCTCCTCCTCCCGTCCCTTTCTCTAGCAGGCTAACTCTTCCCCACCCTTTAGGGAATTCAAGTGTCACCTACACCCCAAATCAGAGTGAATCCTGCTCGTGGCATTTTTTTTCTCTATTACAGTAGCAGTAATAACTTTTTTGAAGTTTTACTTACTTAAGTAATCTCTACACCCAACATGGGTCTCAAGCTCATGACCCTGAGATCAAGAGTCACATGTTCTTCTGACTGAGCCAGCCAGGCGCCCCAGGAGCAGTAATAATTTTTAATGCACATGTCAAATTTCCTCTTTAAACTGAGAGCTCCTGAAAGTCAAAAGGTCCTACCTTTTGAAGCTTGTAGTAGGACAGTTACAATTCAGTAGAAGTGCTACAACAGGGTCACAAGTAAAGGGTCCTATGGGAATACATAGGAGAAGCACTTAATCCAGTGCGGGGGGAGGGGGGTGGGCATCAAGAAATGCCTCTGTACAAAGTGACATCAGCCAGGTGGAATGATGAGAGAGTCTGAAAGTGTATTTCAAGTGGGGGGTTGTGAAGGAGAACAGATGAAAAGCCCCCAGGAGAGACAGCATGCCACACTGCAGTAAACCACATAGCTCAGTGGAGCAGAGTACAAAGGGGAAGGCGGAACTGCAGAGGTAATTGGGAGCCAGGTTCTGCTTTTTGTTTTTTGGTTTTTTAAGATTTTATTTATTTATTTGACAGAGAGAGAGGCAGCGAAAGAGGGAACACAAGCAGGGGGAGTGCGAGAGGGAGAAGCAGGCTTCCTGCGGAGCAGGGAGCCCGACGTGGGGCTCAATCCCAGGACCCTGGGATCATGACCTGAGCTGAAGGCAGACGCTTAACAACTGAGCCATGCAGGCGCCCCCCAGGTTCTGTTTTTAACTAGAGTTTGGGTGACACACAATATTACATTAGTTTCAGGTGTACAACATAGTGAGTTGACAACTCTCTACATTCTGTTACGGAAGCCAGATTTTGTGGTGGCTTTTTTTTTTAATTAAGTAAGCTTTGTGCCCAACGTGGGGTTTGAACTCACGACCCTGAGATCAAGAGTTGCATGCTCTACTGACTGAACCGGCCAGGTGCCCCTTGGGGTGACTTTTAAGTGATAAGCACTTTGGATTCTATCTAAGAGGCTATTAAAATTAAAGGCCCATGACATCAAATTTGTTCTCTAGAAAAATAACTCACTATAGTCTGAAATGTGAAGTGCAGATACGTTGTGCTTTTGTACTGCGTCACCTTGGCTAAGGGGAACTAACTGTATTTACATGGATCCCGTTCCTAGTGTGGTTCTCAGTCTTCGCGAAGAGAGGCTCGCGCCAGACTGGAAGACGGGAATGAAGCAGTGGCCATGATGCTCTGTGGGCCAGGGGCAGGGGTGCCGGGATAGCCCCGCTCACCCTCGCTGGCTCCCACGCAGCCGCCAGTTCTCTTGCCGAGGGCAGGAGCCACAGGCAACTGGGCATTCACCGCCACAGGCAGCAACATTCCTCCGTGGTCAGCGCCGGCTCTCTTTCATGAGCCCGCTGGAGGTGCCTGGGTTCCCAGGTTCCCAGGGAAGTTACCGTAGTCCACTCGGACCAGGGCTGCAGAAGGGTGCATTAGTGGCTTCTCTCGGATCCTCCAACCTCTCCTGCCAGACCCTTGCTTCTCTATCTTCTTCTACGATGATGTTCTTATTCCTGTAAGAAACTCCCTTACTGCATAACTCCAGTGGGTTTGCGTCCCTGATTGAACCCTGTCCTAATACATCTGGTGAGAGTGAAAGAGAAAATGAAAGGAGCAAGGTTTTTCACATGCCTGGTGCTCAAATGGTATCAGGCACAAAAGAGGTAATAAAAAAAATACCAAAAGGTAGGATGGATGGATGGCTAACCGGTTAACATCATAAGACAGGGATCCTTTTGGATATATTGTTGGTGTTGTTTTTTAATTAAGAAACAAAAAAGAACCTAGGCTTATTTAGAGCTTTCACATTAGAGTTCTCTGCAAAGGTCTAAACTGTGCTACTGTATATTGAAAGCCAGCAGGATTATATTCCACAACACATCCAGTTAAAGTTTGAAAATTACTTCCTATATCTCTTTATCATCTCCACATTCTATACAATGCATCTTTTTAAAATTAGTTTTTCCCTCCAGCATCTGAGTCTTTCCCAGTTTCTATGACAGCATAACCTACAATCACACTCACTAGTGTTTCTTTATTGAATGTGAGTCATCTGATTTCCCAATGAAGTATATATTTATTAGTTTCATATTTCCTTGTTTAACTCTTATCCCTGAGTCTCCTGTGGGGTTTTCCCCTTGCTTCTTCTAAATTCCAGGCAGGCTACTGATACTTATGAAGTCTTATTTTAATCCTTGGGAGTCATGACCATTCCCCAAAGTTGCCTAAGCTGTTCGGTGTTCCACAGATTTCCACAGATCTCCCTCCTTCCTTAGATGACAGTCCTGAGACTTTCAGGGCTCAATTACCAGGCTCTGATATGTAATAAGTGCTCAATAAAAATCTCTCGATTTGGTAAGTAAATGTATTGGTCTCTTAGGAATTCCTCAACAGCAATTTAGTTCCACGTATTGTACATCTGGATTCTCTTAAGGAGATGTGTTATTACTCTATTCGGCAATTTGAATTAATTATTTGGGGATATTAAGGTGAGCTTTTTCCTTCATTTTATCATAATAACTAAGTCAAACACAAGACATAAAATGCATCTCAAGTTCAGCTCTTTGTAAGTAGGTGATTAACGGATGAAATGAACAGGCATTTATCCTTAGCCCGACATAATTTCGGTGGCCGCGAGAACAACGTTAGGCCGTTCACTGCTTCTGTACCTTAAATTGCTTCCCGCACGTGGAACACAGGAAATCTTTGCGGTCTGAATGTCGGAGCATGTGAAGACGCAGTTTGTCAGGACGGCAGAAGGCCTTGTCGCACTCTGTACACTGGTAGATCTTTTCTGAGTGGAAGCTTCGCACGTGTTTTTTCACCTGGCAGTTGAAGACACCAACAAGTCAGAGGACTCGGGCACCCAAAGGAAATGGTGGCTTATCAACACTAGAGGGAGCCAAACGCATTCCCATGGATTTTCATCAACCTGGCGGTGTAATCCAATCAAATGTGACTGATGATTGGCCTCCATCACACACAGTACCCCTGTCACAAAGAAACAGAACAAGTAGCCAGAAAGCCTTATAAATCTTAACCTCCCACATAATTTGAAGAAGAGGAAGAAAGAGTGCTTGCTCAAAGCCCTGATCACATGAGACCCATTTTTCTTTCTCTCTCTCTCTCCTTTTTTAAGATTAAGCAGAGTTCCTCTGGATTTAAATAAATCTTGGTAAAAACTATCCACAGAAAGACAAAAAAAATAATTCTTTCTCACTTTTTTCTGCCTCCAACATGTATAGAAGCAATTTAGCCCCTTTTAGTAATTGGTCCTTTTACATCTTTCCATTAAATCAGGTTCTGAAAGGGACGCCTGGGTGGCTCAGTGGGTTAAGCAACTACCGTCAGCTCAGGTCATGATCCCAGGGTTCTGGGATCAAGCCCCAGATCGTGCTCCCTGCTCAGAGGGGAGTCTGCTTCTCCCTCTCCTGCTCCCCCTGCTTGTGCGCGCGCTCTCTCTCTCTCTCTCTGTCAAATAAATAAATAAATAAAATCTTTAAATAAATAAATCAGGTTCTGAAGAATAAAGACATGAATTAGATGATATAAAATACATTACCCATTTATGAGAACGATACAATACCAGCATCATTTCTCCTTAAACTTATTCACTATACTTCTGGATAATTTAAATAAAGGAATATGGCCTCTGAATTCTCTTAGCTGTAAATACCCAATGAAGGAGAGCTGTGATGAGAGCTAAGTAATGAGTCGTAGAGAACTATTCCTATACGACATTTTGCTTCATTGTTTTTGAGTCTCTTTTGCCTTTAGATTCTGCCATAAGCCACTTTTCTAATTGTTTGTGTGAAGTGATAAAATTACCAAGACTCCCCATACTAGCAGAACTATGATCTCCTTTTGTCTGGGTAATTTTCTTTTTAAAGAGAAAATATTTTTACTAGATATTTATATTTAATTATTCATTGACTAGCACAGAACTAGCATATCATCACTTGAAGTTCAAATGAAATCATGAATATTCTGGAATTTATCCTCACCTATTTTGCTCCAGAATATAGTCCAAGGAAGGAGGTCAGTGCTTGATACAAAAGTATATTATATACCAACTCTCTGTTTCCTTCCAAAATGCATGACCTTAGTAAAGCAAGACAGGATACCACAGTAGCAGAGAGAAAATGTTTCCAGGCCAGGAAATGGGAGCATGTCTTCTATAGGCTCTCTATATTTTATGAGTAGAGGGTACTGGCAAAGATTAAGAAACACTTTGTAAAAATGACAATCAGATCTGGGTATTTGTTACTTGTAATAAAACTTAAATGTTTCAATGCCAATGTCTGATTTGGACAATTAAGGGTTATGATAATCTTTATCAAAGCAGCTTGATTGAAGAAATACCATTCTCAACTGTAACGTTGTTTCAAGGACGGGATGAAAATGCAGGTGATAGGCAGTCTCAACTTTCCAAACATCGAAGTTTCTTTTACCAAAGAAGAAAAGCATACGGGAGTCTCAGGAATAGACACTCACCTGGATAAAATCTGGGAATCGTTTCTTACAAGTTGGGCACGTGAAGCAGCCATCATTGATATGAATGGCCACGTGATCCTTCAACAAATCAAGGCGGTCAAAGGATTCCGGGCAAAAAATGCAAGAATAAGTCTTCTGGTCTGAATGGAGTTTCATGTGGCTCTCCAAGGACGCACTGCTGATGAAGCCCTTGTTACAGAGATCACAGGTCAGCGGGCAGTTCCCCTCCCGCCCATGGAAGCGCAAATGTTGGTCCAGTTTGTCCTTTTCACGGAAGGCCTTCCCACATTGCAAACACTTAAAAGGCCGGAAGGACTTCCGAATAAACAGATGCTGAAGAGCTGCATTCTGAAAGACACACACAAATACAATTATTTAGCGAGGAGGTCAAGTGGGTAAGCAGCTCGCACATTTATAGAGAAAGAGGATGATCTCTGCAATCAGACTTTCCATAGAAATTAAACTCTGGGACACACAGTTGAAAGAAGATTTTCCTGGTGAAGACATTAAAAATGAAGCCATCCCCAAAGAAGTTCACCCTGAAAAGACAAACCTTTTTTATGTCTTACAATATTTATGGATGTATGGGTTGTTTTTTTTTTTTTTCAAGAATTAAGTAAGTACAGCCCAAATAGTACTCCCAATAAAGGATTTGTATAATAAAACAAATCCCAGAGTTGAGTAGAAAAATTGGAGATTTAGAAGAAGTGACGTGTGATAAGTCACACATGCATGAATGAAGTTGGAGCAAGTCAGCCAAATGTTACTCGCTGAAGTTCTTGAGAAAAAGAATTCAAAGCTTGATTAAAATGTTAAGGAAAAAAAAAAAGATATAAAAAGAACTGAAGAGTAGTACTTGCCAGGGGCTGGGAAAGGAGGCAATGGATACAAGGTTTCCTTGAGGATGATGAAAATGTTCTGGAATTATAGTGGTGATGGTTGCACAACGTGGAGAATATACTAAACACCACTATAGAAGGGTGAATTTTATAGTCCATGAATTATATCTCAATTTAAGAAAAAGAACTTGAAAGAGAAATGAAGGATACAGATTTATATGAACATGTTCATTCATGAGGTAAGATATATGAGCACACATTATAAATGGAATATGTATATTTGACCACTTCCTACTTAGAAAATGCAGAAGACAAGTTCTTGGTGTAGCTAGTTAGTTCCACTGGTTAAAAGGCCATGCTAACAAAGTTAAGCTTATCGCTTTGTTCCCTGTCTAGACTAGTCAATTTTCCTCTTTTTTTTTTTTGCAGTCACAGATTGCACTTCTAATGCTGATTAGCCATCTTGTAAATTCATGCAATTGTTATAGGGAATCCAAGTGAGAGAATATGGATATTCAGTACAAATTCATCACTACCGCTGGAAAAACAACTCATGCTCTACAGAGAGCAGATCAACAGAATCATCTTTCACACAGGGAATACAGCATCGATGTTTTAGTTATACTATAATGAAGACTCATTCATAGGTTCTTCGAAATACCAGAGGGAAAGCTCTAGAGAGCTATGAGAGGGGGGAAAAAATCCCTCAAAAAATATATCTGTGAATGGGTGAGCTTGTGTGACTAAGGGACTAGTAACTGAAGGATTAATGGAGACCTTAATGCATTATTGGTACAATGAACCATGCTTAACCCCAACTTCTAAACTAAATTTAATGTGAAAAAATCATTCAGAAAAAAGCAAAATAATAATTTTTTCTTTAGTGAAAATTCTGAACACAGTTACTATATGACTGAAAACTTCCTCCTCAGGGTCTCTAATGGGGCCGGGAGAGATATTTTACCTACTCATTTATCTTAAGGAGATATTTAGAAATTCTGTTGTCTTCCCCAGTTGACTGAGGCACGAACGCATTATATCTTATCCTCCTTTGTATCTAGAGTGCTTAAAATACAGCTTAGCTCATAGGAAGTGTTCAATAAAAACTCCAGAATTAATGAAATGTATTTCATATGAAAAACAAAAAGAATTCTTTCAAAGTCTCTTTTATAGCACCTGCAGAGATCTGTAATAGCTGACCATTCTCACATCAGTCACAGAGCTTTCTGGCACTTTATTATACTGTTCAGCAGTTACCCAATCTTTTTACTCTATCCGAACAAATATTTATTTTACAAAAAAGCTCTCACTATTCTGGCTACTTTCAAAACTTAATGGAAATATTGCAAATAAACAAATAATATCCTGAGATTCAGACATTCAAGATTTAGAGTGCTTTCAACATGTAAGAATCATTTCCTTTATCCAGTTCAATAAGGTTTCCAAGGGCAGACACAATGTACAGTTGATCTTGGTCCCACTGGGGATTCCACTCCTCTTCGGGTGCCAAATCTAGAACTCGGTTTTGTTTTGGACTATTATGCTAATAAGTCTTCTGTCATTTCTGATTAGTTTGAGTGTCCTCAGACACTTGATCGCTGACCAGCCACTGGGCTCCACATTCTTAGTTCTGTCCACAAACCTTGTTCTTGTTGTCTTTCTAATTCCCATGGAGCCCTGAAGATCATATTTCTCTGATTTGGTGATCCTCATGTAATCCACACAGTACAAGGTAGTGAAAGTGCTGAAATTTTCCCACCCCTTGACCCACTTGCAGGCCACTTCTACTCTAAGGTATCCTCTGTAGCTCAGAGCTATGCTGGCAACACATTTCTAGAAGAAACCATGAAAAGTGGGAGAAGTAGCACAGATGGATCCATTATGGATCTTCTGATCCCTGAGTTGCCATCAGCCAGGCACACCATACTATACGGTCCATAAGGTACTCTAGGGTGCCAAAATGCTACGGTTGCTAAAATCTGTGATGGGGGATTCAACTCACACTGAAATGAATTCTAAGACAACAGATTCTTTGCAAACAAAGACCTATAATGTTTCTAAAGTTTGATATTAATAGCTAAGGGAAATTAATTCTTGATCACTTTTCATACTATTTTGATCTTGACACCAAAAGGAAATCAATCCTGTTTGTTTGTTGGCTTTTTTTTTAACTTTTCTCTGCCTGTTTTCTACCTGGCTTTCAAAGCCTTTAGCTGGCTAGCCCTACCAACGTATCTCACTCTCCACTGTCCTTCAACGGGCACCCCACGCTAGGGTCAAGCTCCGATGTGCACTGTCCCAAAACCATTCCAAGCACATGCCTATGTGCTGGCCTTTGATCCTATGGCCGACAGCCCCGGAAATAGCCTACCTTCTTCCTGTCTCTCTCCCAGACCACTTAAGGCTCGCTTCATCCACGAACTATTCCCTGACTCCTTCTCATCTTTCTTTGGCCTTTCTCACTTCCCAGTTCCTATAGCAATTATAGGCTACACTTTCAAATTTAGCCCTTGACTATAAGACCCATTACATGAGTACTATCTCCCAAATTAGACTGTAAGCTCCTAGAGAACAGGACTCACGTGAAAACTGCATTGTGTCCATAGCCTGGGGCTGAGTATATAGTCAGATCTCACTACCATCCCGTAAGTCATCCAAATTGTTGTAGAACTGGATGGGATCCTGGAGATCACTTAGTCCTACCCTTCGTTTGGGGTAGGAGGAATCTGCTACCCACAATTTATTTATCAGTCTATCTGAAAATAGATGGTTATGCATTAACTAGTTTGTATTTACTGTAGATCCCACCAGGATTTAGTAGGTACAGGTCGCAAAGAACATCAGGTCAGGCAAACACTTCAATAATGTTCTGTTGTGTGGAACACAGGAAACGAACCTACCTGCAGCTCCAGCTGAGCAGGCAGCATTAGAGGAGAGAAAAATAGTTACATTACCAATTGGGTTGGAAGACTTCCCTTCAGTTGGTCATTACCAATCTGGATAGAAAAGATGGAAAAATACATAGCCCTAATTTTTAGAATGTGTGAGAGGAAAAAACACAAGAGCTCAACTAAGACTGACCTCCAAAAGCCAAGTGCACGTGGCTTTTGCTTTGACACAAGGAACCTTGTACCCAAACGAGTCACCCAATGCGCTGAAGGATACGAACACAGAGCTACACTAGGCTTGTACAACCACAACTTCACTACATGTGTGGGCTTTCATTTGGGGTTGTTTTTGTTTTTCCTGCAAAAAAATTAAATCTTGTAAGCATTTCTCTGGACTTAGTGAAAAATCAGAATGGCCAAAGCAGAAAAGACAGTCATGGAGCAAGAGTAAAATGCAGATTGGGAAATAATGTAGAATGATGGATTAGGAAGGTATTAACTCATAGTTGTTTGCCTTTCTGGTCTATATTCATGTATGTTTCCATAGCCTTTTGAAAGAATATACATGGAGCCAAAAGTATTATATGTTTCCATCACAGGACCCTTATAAAGGCTACTTAGCCTCAGAGTGCTGACAACCTTTCAATGTTATTATACAGTTATAAATGTTTAAATGCATTTTTACAGGAAGGCATGGACTCGACTATTTTCCAAGGTCCCTTCTAGCCTATAGGCAAATAAGAAGACCAAGAGAAATATAAGCTACACGTAGGCAAATGAGAAGACCAAAAGAAACATAAGCTAAAACAATCACCTCTCTAGAAACTGTAAAGCCTGGAAAGTTTTACAAAAAAATCTCTTTCTAGCCACACATAAAGTACAATAAAAGTATATACCACTGCCATAGACAGTGGTGTAAGTAATGGTTTTCTGGATGTAAATCGGTCAGCACATGCGCTTATCCCACAAAACCCTGTTGTTCTCCACATGCATACCCTCCAGGAACTAACTCAGACTCCCATGCTATCTGTGAGGTAAGAGGAACACACATCTGACCTAGAGGCCACGGAGGCCGTGTGGCCGCATGGTCTAGAGTCCGGACACAGGCCACAGAAGTGAAACACTGACCAACTCCCAAGCCTGGTGCTTAACTTCAAGCTGTCCCGGGTGTGTAAACTGTACCTACCACAGCAACGTGGACACGGGTCCCTTTGCGTTGATTAGTAATGACATTTGCCAGTCTCCCCTTGGAAACTGTAGACAACCAAATTCATTTACCCGAAATTGATCTGAGAGCCATCATTAGGCATGGATTAGAGTGGCTTCGGTGTAAATAATTATTATAATTAAACACACTTACTTCCCCATTTCCAATCTGTGAGGTTAGGGATCCAGAAAGCTATCCTACTTGAACTATACTAGTCCAGAAGCTGCCAAAAGCCAGGCTTCTGTGTCATTACTAAATTGATGGAATCTAGGACCAGCCATTCCAGCCTGTCACAGGACACAAAGACACTGAGAAGTAGATAATACATTATTCCTAGATAAGGGGATGAGTGTGTGGTAGGCTAGTTGCACGATTTCAAAGCAGATGGTGAGTAAGTTGGGAAAACATGGCACCTAGAAAGCCAGTCGACTGGAGAAAGGGCAGCACCTCGTGAGGGAGGAGCTCTGCTTCCCACTTACTCGGATACGCTTGGCTCTGCGCATGTCATCGGCCGTCAGGGTGCTCTGGGTAGGCAGCGCGCTCTCCTCGTGCTGGGGCTGCAGGTGTAGGCTATGAGTTTCTGGCTCGTGTTCCAGAGAAGGCTGGGTTTCCTGTGGCAGCTGAGGGATGGGGAGAGTGGGCTGTTCTGGTTGATCCAGCCCATTCAGAGTAGGTGGCTCAGCCTCATCGAACTGCTCCTTGGTGGAAAAATGTAGCAAGTCCTGAAATTGCAATAACCAGGAATTATTTCCCCAGCTAGATAGAGACTCGCGCTAGAGAGTGTCAGCTAAGATTTAGAATTGCTGCTTATTTTTTAAATCTCTAGATTTAAAAAAATATTCTCCTTCTGGGAAAACTATCCAAGATTAGATAAGTATCCACAGGATGTAAAACTGGGAGATATTCCAGATCACTTCATGAGGAGAAGACCGACAGGAGAACTCTTCTGGAATAAGATCATTTTAACTGTTTAAACTGATTAAACAGCATCCCCCAACAATATCTTTGAACAATTTCAACTCCTTTTTTTGGTGGCTGGTGGGGGGGGAGGGAGAGGGAGAGACAGAATCTTAAGCAGGCTCCACATCCAGCACAGAACCCAACATGGGGCTCAATCTCATGACCCTGAGAGATCACGACCTGAGCTGAGATCGTGACCTAAACCAAAATCAAGAGTCAGACACTTAACTGACTGAGCCACCCAGGCACCCCCAATTTCAAATCTTGAGGGCAGCAAAGTTGGGTTTTTGTTGTAACATTCAAGAATACGTTCTGTTTTTTTTGAAAACGTATTCTTCTTGCCTTCCCCCAGTCATCTTTAATTAACAAGCAGCCAAGTGCGGACATGGCAGGACCATCAGCCTCCAGGAGGCATTTGTACTGAAGCCTGGTAATAGTTACAAGTCTCCGGAGCAGGCATCTAACAAGGAGTTCTTCCTCCCCCAGTACCTGTGTCCCGTCGTCACATTTGTCCCCATTTTCGCTGGCTATTTCCAAGCGGATAAATTTTGGAGGGCGTCCTGGCCGTCGACCAGGGCCAAATCGCCTCTTGCCTCGTCCCCTTCCTCTGCCTCTTGTTCTGGGGACAAAAGATTAGGTTATAAATATTCATGCTTACACAGTACTCCCTAACAAATATTTTCCCTCATTGGTGCTGATGAGCCCCAAATCTTGATTTCCTCTCATTCTATTACTTTTTCTGATTCTTTTTTCTACTAGGAACAATCATTTTGATAATATGCATTTTCTTTTTTTAAAAGATTTTTTTTAAAGATTTTTTTGTTTATTTTAGAGAGAGAGCGTAAGCATGCATAAGTGGGGTGAGGGGCAGGGAGAGGGACAAGCAGACTCTAGGTGCTGAGTGCAGGGTCCAATGTAGGTCTCAATCCTACCACCCGAGATCAAGAGTAGGCTGCTTAACTGACTGAGCCACCCAGACGCCCTGATAATATACACTTTCTAAATATCTCATCCTTGCCATCTATATAGCCCAGAGATGTCTTAAATTGAGCTATTAAAAACTCAGAGCACTGGGCACCTGGGTGGCTCAGTTGTTAAGCGTCTGCCTTCGGCTCAGGTCATGATCCCAGGGTCCTGGGATCGAGCCCCGCATCAGGTTCCCTGCTCAGTGGGAAGCCTGCTTCTCCCTCTCCCACTCCCCCTGCTTGTGTTCCCTTTCTCACTGTCTCTTTCTCTGTCAAATAAATAAACAAAATCTTAAAAAAAAAAAAAAAACCTCAGAGCACTGACACCATTTTGTTACTGAAAATTCTGTAAGCACAAACATATCTCTGAAATGATGTGAGAAATGCAGACAGGACAGAACATGCTAAGCCTTAAGCATGTTCCTAGAGACAAGATTCCATTCTTTCCCTCTTTTCCCCTTGCTTCACTTCCTATTCCTTCCAAGAAATGCAACTAGATTCAAAAGAACTTTCTTGTTTTGCTATAAGCTTTTGGCAGGTCAAAACAAATTTCTAACTCAATTGTTCCATAACATACCTAGTAAACACCAAGTAAATTTTATCTTATTTAATAGATTTCTAGCATATAAAAATTCCTCAATAAAGGAATTCAGAAAGCATATCATTAAAATCTCTTTTAGAAGATGAATGTGAGGGCGCCTGTGTGGCTCAGATGGTTAAGCGTCTGCCTTCGGCTCAGGTCATGTTCTCAGGGTCCTCGGATCAAGTCCCGCATGGGGCTCCCTGCTCTTTGGGAGCCTGCTTCTCCCTCTGCCTCTCTCTCTCTCTCTCTCTGTCTCTCATGAATAAATAAATAAATAAATAAATAAATAAAAAGAAGATGAATGTGAGAGGATTAAGAGTACACTTACTTGAACACTGAGTAATATATGGAACTGCTGAATCTCTATATTGTACACCTGAAACTTAATATAACACTGGATATTAACTATACTGGAATTAGAAGAGAAGAGAAAAAAGATGTGTGTGAGAGATAATGTATAAAATCGATCAGATCATGTTTTATTCCTCCACTTATCTATTTAGCAACTTAATAAAAATTATATGTTGTTCCAGAATTTTTAAGACTCTTTATTATAGAAAATTCTGAACCTAGGTAAATGTAGAACCCAATGTACATAATGAACCCAATGTACCCATTACCTGATTTCAATACTTAGCTACTCATGGCTAATTTTACTCCACCATACACCACCCCCCTGCTGTTTCCCACACACACATACACATTAGATTATCCCAGACCATCATTTCATCTGCAAATATTTCCACAAATATGTCTCTACAATATAAGGACTCTTTTTTATATATTCCATATATATATGGAACATATAAATACATATATATATATATGGATATGCATATACCACAATACCATTATGCTCAGTATTATTAAATCTAGTCAAAGGTCAAATTTTCCTAATTGTCTCAAATTTCTTTTTAATAGCCAGCCAACAAATATTTTTATATACCATGTGTCACGCACGTCCCATGCTAGGCAATAAAGACAAGTCATATGTGACAGTTCTTGCCCTCAGAAGTCTAGCAGAGGCAGCAAACACACAAACCAAAAAACATCACAATATAGAAAGTGCTATAATAGAGCCATGAACAGAGTTCTAGAGACACCTGACAGGGAGTGATTTAACTCTCACTGTGCCCTCCACCCACCTCAGACATTTACTCCTATGGTCATATCCTAGACCTCGTTATCCTCGATAAGTATAGAGCCACCCACCTTACCCCAATTCCATGCAGCGCCCACTCTCATGCTATCTCTAGCTTTCTAGCTCACACCCTCAAATACCTGGACTCAACAATCCCTGCATCTCACTACCACCTCCCCTCTAGTCCTTCTGTCACCTGTTTGCAGTCCTACATCCTCTTGATGTTTTCTCTCCCTTCGTCCATGCATAAACTCCAAAGTCACCCCTGTAATCACTCCCTCGTATATGCTCTTGATGGCCATCCCCACTGCTGTTCCATCACTCCCGCTGTGTTGGCGAAACCACCACCCTGGGCAATCCCATTCCCGAGCTGCTCGGCAAGGGCATCACTGCAGCAGATGAAGCTGGACAATGACATACATCCATGCTAATGGTCTCCCTCTAACGTCATGACCATGAACCTCAAGTGAGCTCTTAACAGTATGATCGCAGGCAGTCATCCTGTACTTCCCTAGAACACGGATCTTCCCACTTTACTAAACGCCGTGTCATACCATCTCCTCTCTTTTCGAGTCTGGTAAAAGATGGCAACCCTACATCCGTCCCATTGGTGCCACACCATTCCAAAGTACTCTCCTTCTTCACCTGAACTGTTAAAATAGCTTCCAACTGGACTCCCTGTCTTTGCTCTTCATTCAATGAAAGCAAAAGTGACATTTTAATGTTCACCCAGCATGACATTTCAACAAATAATTCACATCACAGATACTCCCTGATCCAAACCCTTTAAAGACTTCTTATTACACTTAGAATAAAATCCAAATTTCTTACCATTACCCATAAGGCCTACCTGATCTGGTCCCCCCTCCGCAAAAAAAAAAGGATTCTCTCTTATCTATCTTTTTTGTACAATGGAACGAAACCTACAATTTAGTTTGATGAAGGAATCCTACTTCTGAAAAAAGTTTGCAAATCAGAGATGCAGAGTGTATGCTATCTCAAGAATTCCCGTCCCAGGGGCGCCTGGGTGGCTCAGTTGGTTAAGCGACTGCCTTCGGCTCAGGTCATGATCCTGGAGTCCAGGGATCGAGTCCCGCATCGGGCTCCCTGCTCAGCAGGGAGTCTGCTGCTCCCTCTGACCCTCCCCCCTCTCGTGCTCTCT